TTTGTATCCCGGTAGGTAAATAGGGACTGGTCATAAAGCACCGGGTGATTCCCTACCGCTAATTTCTCCTCCATGTTTTGGAATATGAGGAAATGACCTGCGGTCTGTCTCTCCCAGCATACACGCCGTTTGATTGGCTAGCGCTTGAACTCTCAGATTTGCATACACGGGATTTGATTGGCTGACGCTTCCACCTCAGCTTCAAAAGTTGAACATTGCTCAACTTTGAATCCTGAAAATCCTGAAAATCTCCGCTCTGCTTCCCACAATGCAGTTCGGCGAAAAGTGAGGCAAAGTGACGTCACCCCATTCAAAGTGAATGGGCAGAAGCGTTTCAAGATTTTTTAACGCTGCTGTGTGGACGGGCCGTAAGAGATACAGGTAGATGAGATGAACAAATATTTCATTATAGTTGCATTTGATTTAATACAGAAGCTGTTAGAGTAAGAACAACTTGAGGAAACAGGCAGATGTGACCAAAGATTATAGATATGACATGAGATTAAGCAACGGTTTGCAACTCAAATCAAGGAGGTATAGAAAGTGCATAGGCAGCATTCATGATTCTACAAAGAGACATTTTATCACATACATTTTGGAAATCAGTACCAGACATTTGGCAGAGAGTAGATACCTGTTCTGACTGCATTCTCTCTTCTGAACGTAGCACAGGTTTATGATGTAGAGGCGCTTTCACACCGCAGTACTTTTCCCACTTTAGTTCCGAAATGTCGCGTTCACACCAAAAAGATCCGGAACTTTTATTATTATTATTATTATTATGTTATTATGTTAATAATAATAATTCCTTATATTTATTATAGCGCTTTTTCCATGACCCAAAGCGCTTTACAGATACACATTACACATACATACATGTAACGGTCATGTACTGTGGACAATACCCACAGGAGCAAATTCAGGTGAAGTGTCTTGCCCAAGGACACAACGGCTTTACAGATGCAGCGGCGGCGGAGGCGGGTTTCGCCCCCTTGATCTGATGATCAATGCACAGCCCACTGCGCCACACCGCCCATCTTCACACCTCAAAGTCATCAAGGCGCTTTACAAGTACACATTAATATCATACATGTACTGTGGACAATACCCACAGGAGCAAATTCGGGTGAAGTGTCTTGCCCAAGGACACAACGGCCTGACGCAGTGGCGGCGGGAGCGGGTTTCGAACTGGAGTTCCCCAACGCCCCCTTGATCTGATGATCAAACGCACAGCCCGCTGCGCCACTCCGCCCCGATGTTGCATTGTTGGAGAAGCCTGTGACATAAGATTTTCAACTACATAATTACTCTGTAGCTATGTCAGATTGACAATAAAGAACCTTGAACCTTGAACCTTGAACTAAAATATTAGTTCATGAGAACGTTTTTACCCCCTTTTCCGTCCCTGCTAGAGAGCAGGGACTTTCGTGGGAGGAAAAGGTTCCAAGGCTGACAGAAAGTTCTGTCCTTCAGATATGAGCTGAACCATTCCAGGGCTTTCCCCTCAATGCCCACCCACTGCTCCAAGCGAGAGATCAGGATGTCATGGTCGACTGTATGGAAAGCAGCAGTTGGATCAATAAGTAGAAGCACAACGCAGTCCCCAGAGTCAGTAGATAAGAGGATGTCATTAAAACCATATATGAAAAGCTGCATGTGTGCAGACATGTGAAACTTAATGTAGCAAACCCTCAACATGGACGCGCTAACAGTGTGAAGGTGGGTGGGGGGAGGATGTAGGGGTTGGTTTGGAATTGGGCCATTTAGGCCAGAGTTTGATAACATCTGACAGCAAGACCCCAGCCAGGTGTGCTGACACTCTGCACACCTGAATACTGAACAGAAGTCATGGATCTGTGTATCTGAGCATCACACTAAGATAAGATCAGAAGTACTTTATTGATCCCAATTTGGGAAATGTTTGCGTTGCAGCAGCATGAAAGACATGGGATTGCACATGAGTAGACATTAAAAGAGTAGAAATAAACAACTCAAAACGTAAACATCTCAAATAGAAATAAAATAGCATTATGTGGAAATACAAATATATAACTGTAAAATGTACAGTGTGGTTTTAAAGGTCTCCTATCATGCAAAATGCACTTTTTCACGTCTTTTCTACATCAACATGTGTCCCCGCCCGGTGTGTCAGGGAACTCACGCAGCGTCAGAAAACACAACCCTCTCTCTTTTCCTCCGTACCCACATCTCTAAAAACGGGGCTACAACGGAGCTGATCCTGATTTGCGTCCGATATGACGTAATATCGGAAATCTGGACCCACGGCCCTATCAGAAACGTTGCTGTCAGAAACAATGAGATGTGTTTTGAACATGATATGGCGTTTAATAACGGCAGCATTTAGCTGAGAATCTACCGCTAGAATTCTGAGCAGGCATTTTCTTTTTTAAAAGCTAAGGACCCAGAATCAGCGTTTCTCAGGGCTGAAATAGACGGATATGAAGTCATGGCTAGAATGGGTGATCTGTTTGGTATTTTGAGTAAAACACATCATAGACATATTTTTTATATATTTGTATATATCTGAGACCCATAATATATGCCTAGAAATAGCATAATAGGAGATCTTTAAGTCCAGTTATCCAAGAGAGGCTGTGGAGCAGAGAGTTGACTGAGAGTCACTCCTTACAGTAGTGACAAATGTATTTTGGAGCGGTGCTCAGCAGGTCACACTGTTAGCCAAGCTATACAGTGTGTGTGTGTGTGTGTGTGTGTGTGTGTGTGTGTGTGTGTGTGTGTGTGTGTGTGTGACCCACATTCTGACATGCCGCCTGCAGCAGAGAGAGGGAGGTCTTTGGGTGTTGTGTTGTTCAGCTCGGTCTCCATGGAGCTTCTCAGTGACTCAGCGGTTCAGAGGGAGGATATCAAGTATCTGAAGTTCACCTGCTTTCATAAAGGTCGTCTAATTTTAGTCCGGATTAAATCTGTTTCATTTTGCAGTAACATATTCATCGACAGTGAACAGGGTTAACTTCATGATTATATAATGGTAGAGTGCACAAGCTTCACTTTATGCTTCCTGATGGCTGCCATGAAGTTTGTCACTTTGTTCTGGTTTATTTGTTGATATGTGAAGTCACTTTTTTGACCTTTTTCAAAACGTTTCCTACCATTTTCCATAAAAAAAACTCACATATTTATGATTTTTTCACGAAAGGTTGCAAATGTACTTACCAGTTTGAATTTGAGGGCATGATAATACTCATGTTAAAGGTCCCATGTCATGCTTTTCTGGTTATTACCCGTCCCCTTGTGTGTTATGAAGCTTCTGCATGTAAACGGTCTGCAGAGTCACAAACCCTCAAAGTACACCCTGTAGCGAGTAAAACTCTAACACAGAGAAGACGTGTCTATGCTGCCCCAGAACGCCTCGTTGGACATTTCATTTTTCAATTTTTTTCTTCCGGGAACCAAGTGACGTACTGACGATCCAAATGGACCAATCCGCGGAACTCCTCACACACACACACTCAGCCAGCCTTATTGTTCTCAGCCTGGACTCAGCCTGAGACAGCGGGACACGGCGAGGCCCGCAGACCCCACGCAGCAACCAGGAAACCACACCAGTAACCCAGCTCACACTGTCCGCTCCTCGAGCCTAAAAGGGCGGAGCAGCGAGCCCCCCAACGTCCCCCCAACACGGCACCCAGACCCCACGCAGCATTCTCATCTGTTTGTCATTACTGGTGTCATTTCCTGGTTGCTAACAAACGCCATTGTAACACATAATCACTGATGTTCTGCTGTAACGGTGGTGGACTCATCAGAACAGAGTGGGCGAGCTGACCAATCAGAGCACAGTGGGCTCACAGGGAGGGGGGGGGGGGGGGGGCAGGAGCTCCAACAAGCCGTGTAGGACAGAGAGTGAATACACATACTATACAGAGATGCTGTATGAGAAACCAATGTGAGTTTGGAACATTGAACAATGTGAATCTATTCTAGTAGACCTCAACAATGGAATTATGATCAGTAGAAATGACCATGACATGGGACCTTTAAGAAGACGATGTGGCGCAGGTTGATGGTTAAATACAAAATATGATGCAGTTGAATCGTAAATCATGACACTAAAATAAAGCAAATTTCCCATTTGCTGGCACATTTTTAAATGTATTGAAATTATAGGCAAACAATCTATAAATAAATTATTTTTTGATTGGAAAATGTGTACATTTCAGAAGCATTGGGTAACAGCAAACCTTGCTCTGTCAAACGTTTAAAATAGACGCCCAAAATCTCCATACACATGCATTTGTGTATTGTTTTATATCTCAGTGTTACTATAGACTCAAGACTGACCAATATTAATCTTTTTATCATTTTCTCAGAGATTGAATAACAAGTTGAAACTGTTTCTTTAATCAGATTCATCTCCGATTCTTCCCGTCATTTGTAGTTATTTCATCCCATTGTGATTATCCTACACTGACTGTGTGTTTATATTACAGTTTTTAATGTGTTTTCTAATTATAAACACTTCAAATGAAATGCGTTCAGACATTAGTTGTAGTTAAGTTACTCCTCCTACCTCATCTATCTAAATAGAGCTGGTAAACATTGGGGTCTCTGAATACGATGCAACATAAAACCTGAACGTATGGAACGTTTGCAGAGCGTTGATATTTTTGCTCAGCTCTTCCCCACTGGAGTCTGTCTGTCTGTCTGGTGTCTTTGTGGGTTTAATGTTTTTATGGAGACGGTGTTGATCCCCGACACACAAGACGGGCTCTCCATGTTTTTACATATAAACCTGGAAGTGAGCCCACATGAAACTGAGTCACGTTTAAAACGAGCGACTCAACACCGTCAGTTCTGCTTTTCCCTGCACTGTGAGGATGTGTTTGTGCTGGTTATACACTCTGATGTGACTGTGTGAGGATTTAAACCCTATCTCTTGATACTCTTAAAGCCATTGAGACTTATTTCGTACCGTGTGATTTATAGAAAGTTTTCTGTGTGTTTGGTTGTGATTTCAGGACATCTGTGAGGACATCTCGGACCATGTGGAGCAGATTCACGCCCTGCTGGAGACCGAGTTCTCCCTGAAGCTCCTGTCCTACTCTGTCAACATCATCGTAGACATCAGGTGAGTCTCAACACAACGACAACGAAAAGTATTCACTGTTTAAAGGTTTTTCTATCATGCTATCATTTGTATAAAGCCATTATGATTAGGTAGTTTGTTCCTTGTCACTTTTACTGTCTAATGTAATGTGGATCAATCCTCCTTGACTTACATATTCTTGAAGAAAACAGATTATAACTCTGACTGTTATTTTTTTGTACACTTATACAAATATTGATATCATCTGTATTTGTTAGTATTAATTTAAACGTACACACACATTGTGAATGGTCTCTTCCTGTGTGTGTTGTGTTGCAGGACGGTGCAGCTGCTCTGGCACCAGCTCAGAGTCTCGGTTCTGGTTCTGAAGGAGCGTCTGCTTCAGGGCCTGCAGGACTCCAACGGAAACTTCACCAGACAGACAGACATCCTGCAGGCCTTCAGTCAGGATCAGGACCAGGTCGGAACATACACACACACACGCACGCACGCATGCACACACACACACACACGCACACGCACACGCACGCACGCACGCACACACACACACACACACACACACACACACACACACACAGACTGACACACACATTGTCCACTGTTAGAAAAACATCACTGGTCACCGGCTTGAGCTTCAATCTCAGGATCCATGTATTTATGATCCTCTCAAGAATGGAAGTAGTCATCACATACAGAGCATTTGTATTTCTGACTCAAAATTCTGTCTTTTTACTCAAATTCTCAAATTTCTGACTTTTTCTCAAAATCTAAAAATTATGTATTTTTTCTCAAGATTATGTATTTTTTTCTCAAAATTATGTATTTTTTCTCAAAATTATGTATTTTTTCTCAAATTATGTATTTTTTCTCAAAATCTCAAAATTCTGACTTTTTTCTCAAAATCCTGACTTTTTACTCAAAATGTTCTGAATACTTAAAAATGTTAATAATCACTGGCCCCCGGCTTGAGCTTCAATCTCAGGATCCATGTGTTTGTGATCCTCTCCAGAATGGAAGGAGTCCTCACACACAGAGCATCAACTAGTTCCTGAACAGTGTCCTTCACATGCTGATATCCAAGAGAGGGAGTTACACAGTCACAAGATGGAGGAATAGAAAGCAGTATTCAATGTTTACTTCAGATTAGCTCCACGTCAGAAATGAGCATGCTTGTCATATGTCTATCTCCATAGAGGCTGAATCATCATGTTAATCACATAGCTATCATATGCCTCAAACAGTCATGATGCTCTTCTAGGTAATCATACATCCTGTCATGTTCACAGCTACAGTTGGGATACCTTGTTATCATGTTACTCTCATATTGGAAGAGGACATTCAGTATTTTCCCAACACTTTGACATGCTGGGTGTGTTTGCATTTAGGGAAGAGTTGACATCACAGTGTTTGCTCAGAGTCTCTAGAAGCATCCCACACTGTAGTGCCATACACACATTATTGTCCAATTTATATCAGCAACAGGTCATAACACACACACACACAGACACACACACTGACACACACACGAACACACACAGTCAAACATTGTCCACCTTGTCAGAGATAGTGTGAAGCACAGTAGGTAATAACATGATTCATTCTTCCTCTCCAGACTCGCCTGGACGCTCTGACGGAGGAGGATGATTTCGGTCAGCTGACCATCCGCTGCAGCCAGGACTATTTCTCTCTAGACTGCGGCATCACGGCCTTCGAGTTGAGCGACTACAGCCCCGGAGACGAGTCTGAGGCTCGAGAAGCTGAGGTGGAAGGAGAGGACGTCGCTCAGGAGCCCGAAACAACTCAAGTCCCACATCCAGAACCAGAGGAAGAACCAGAACCAAAGGGGGAAGACGTCGCTCAGAAACCCGAAAAAACTCCAAACCCACATCCAGATCCAGAACTAGAACCAGAGGAAAGTCTCCACAGTCTCTCAAACCACAAATTCCACAACAGTATACCAGAACTCCCAAACCCCGCCGACTCAACAAACCACAACCTGTCTGTATTACCCACAATGCAATGCAATGAGAGTGCAAAGCGCCACAACAGCACTGAAGTGTCACCAACACAGCCGTCACGCCCCAAAAGAGCCGCTGTGTTCTCGAACGGAGGGGGAGAGGGATCCAGGGGAGGAACGGGGAACGAAAGCCCCATTTCTGGGCTTCATTCCCAGGCCGAGTTGAGCCGCAGCACCCCCTCCCTCGTGGATCCTCTGGACCGATCAAAGTTCTGGTTGGAGCTGGACTCGGTTTATCCAGAAGACGTTTCTCAGTCCTACGAGAGTCTGCAGGTTGGTGTACTTGCTTTATCATTTAGACGAGAGGTGTTCAAATATTATAGCAAGAGATGTCAAAAGTACACACATCCTTTACTCAAGTAGAAGTACAGATACTCGTGTTTAAAAATGGTAAAAGTAGAAGTACTGACTAAACTTCTTTACTCAAGTAAATGATGTACCTACATTTGATTGATTTTGCTGACTTATAACTTCGCTTATGAGGCAATAAACCTCACCTCTAGTGAGCGGCCCAGCCCTTCGAATATTTTTCTGTATGTATAGCCCTCGGTGATAAAAAGTTTGGACACCCCTGCCTTATCTAAACCCTCTTTTAAACTTTACAGATCATGAACGGGCGAAACGTCCAGAGAAACCGCTTGAGCTCCAGACAGGGGGGGGCGCTCTCAGAGACCGATGCCCGATCACAGGAGCTCATCTTGGGCCAAAACAAGCACCGAAGCCCCCCTGCCTCCTGGAGCCCCACGGTCTCAGGCTGAGATATCCAGACAAGATGAGAGGAGGCAGGGGGTGGAGGATACACTCAGTGAGGGGGACTCTGACTCCTCGTTGCCTTCCCCCATGAGGGAGCAGTTCCTCTCCTCAGACATGGAAGCGTCCGGAGAGGAATCAGAACCCCGACCGAGGCCCGGAAACACGGCCGTTTGGATCGTGAAACGCCCCGGGAAGAAGGTGAGCTGGTTGTGTTTTATCAAGCAGTTTGGAGAGTTGAGCAGAGAGGGCCAAAGTACACACATCCTTTACTCAAGTAGAAGTGCAGACAAGTAGTACTGACTAAACACTGAAGTGTGTTAGAAAGAAAACAAAACTCCAGACAGAGAAACAAGTCCGTTAGATAAGTGTTGTCCATGTCATGTGATCACAGTGTGTGTGTTCAGTGTTCAGTGTGTGAAGTACACACATCTTTTACTCAAGTATGAGTTTAAAAATACTCTGGTGAAAGTAGAAGTACTGACTAAACTTCTTTACTCAAGTCAAAGTAAAGAGGGCTTTGAAATGTACTTCAGTAAAAAGTACCCATAACTAGCAGCTGTTTTAAAGAGTACCTGACCTGCCTTTATATTAATAGAACAATAATGTCATTGTTAGCTAATGAATGTTTCCATGCTGAACAACGGCAACATGACAACGTTTTCATTGGTCCCTCTTCTTTAGAGAAGACCAGGAAATGATGGATACACGGATCGTGTTCAAATCAATAGGCACGCAATGACTCTAAATAATAATGATCACGCCACCAAACACACATTCAAACTAAAGGAACCAGCCTGTTTGGGAAATGTGAGAAGTAGAAAGTACAGGTATTTGGGTTCAACATGTAAGAAGTAGAAAGTACATGTATTTGGGTTCAACATGTGAGAAGTAGAAAGTACAGGTATTTGGGTTCAACATGTAAGAAGTAGAAAGTACAGGTATTTGGGTTCAACATGTAAGAAGTAGAAAGTACATGTATTTGGGTTCAACATGTGAGAAGTAGAAAGTACAGGTATTTGTGTTCAGCATGTAAGAAGTAGAAAGTACATGTATTTGGGTTCAACATGTGAGAAGTAGAAAGTACAGGTATTTGGGTTCAACATGTAAGAAGTAGAAAGTACAGGTATTTGGGTTCAACATGTGAGAAGTAGAAAGTACAGGTATTTGGGTTCAACATGTAAGAAGTAGAAAGTACAGGTATTTGGGTTCAACATGTAAGAAGTAGAAAGTACATGTATTTGGGTTCAACATGTGAGAAGTAGAAAGTACAGGTATTTGTGTTCAGCATGTAAGAAGTAGAAAGTACATGTATTTGGGTTCAACATGTGAGAAGTAGAAAGTACAGGTATTTGGGTTCAACATGTAAGAAGTAGAAAGTACAGGTATTTGGGTTCAACATGTAAGAAGTAGAAAGTACATGTATTTGGGTTCAACATGTGAGAAGTAGAAAGTACAGGTATTTGTGTTCAGCATGTAAGAAGTAGAAAGTACATGTATTTGGGTTCAACATGTGAGAAGTAGAAAGTACAGGTATTTGGGTTCAACATGTAAGAAGTAGAAAGTACAGGTATTTGGGTTCAACATGTAAGAAGTAGAAAGTACATGTATTTGGGTTCAACATGTGAGAAGTAGAAAGTACAGGTATTTGGGTTCAACATGTAAGAAGTAGAAAGTACAGGTATTTGGGTTCAACATGTAAGAAGTAGAAAGTACAGGTATTTGGGTTCAACATGTAAGAAGTAGAAAGTACAGGTATTTGTGTTCAACATGTAAGAAGTAGAAAGTACAGGTATTTGTGTTCAACATGTAAGAAGTCAAAGTAAAAAGTCGTCAGAAAAATAAGTAGTGGAGTAAAGTACTGATACCAGAAACAAGTACTTAAGTACAGTAACGACAAATACTTCCCACCTCTGGAGTTGAGGTTGTGTTCATTCTGGATTCAGACAGTAGACACTTTTTACCATCTGTCTGCAGCTCTGTTTGCACACCAGGGGCCTCATTTATCAAACTGGAGGAGGATGCAAATGTGTGCATGGAAAACTAAAATAGAAAAACCCACTTACATTTTATAAATCACAAGGAACCTAACAATGTGCAAGCTTCATATTCCGCCCACAACACACACTTATCCATAAATGTCCAATGCATACTGTATAAGTATTGATATGCATACTTTTCTTGTTGCGTACAGACACCCCGTTACAAACAAAAAACTCCCCACTTGTCATCAACAATACACAATGTGTTTTGCACAAAAATATGGAAACTAAAAAAAGTTGTCGGTTAAATATTCTCGGTATTTAAATATTTCGTTATTAAATCAAAAACATTGGCATTTGGATTTCCGATGTTATTTCTTTCTCTTTTCAATCTGTACAAACACCACCTAACACCATTTGTCCTGGGAGAGGTTTCCCTCCTCTGTGCTCCCCCCTTTTAATTTAATTTAATTACTTTTTGATTGTGGGTTTTTTTCAGGAGGGTTTCTTTGTCCCCTGCGAGGGTCTAAGAACAGAGGAAGTTGTTTGCTTTAACAGAGTAAAAAGCCCCCTGAGACAAATCTGTCATTTGTATTATTCGGGCTATCAAAATAGAATTTAATTGATTGCATCTGTGTTGATCTGTGTTTTTAATTTTAGTTTTACTTTCACTGCACCATGACATCAAGTCAAATTCCTCGTACGTGTCAACCTACTTGTTTCCTGGATTGTTCATGTGAAAAACCGAGGTTGTGTTACAGATATAATCAAGATCAATCCCATCTAGAATAAGTCTGTAAAACATGCAGAAATATCAACGTTTTGGTTCCAAACTTTTGAACGATCCCACATTTTGGTTAACATAATAAAAGCCATATTTATTTAATTTATATATTATTTATTTGTTTATTCCACACATGGCAGTTATTTTAAAACAAAACATGTACACTTTACTGGTTGTTTTTTTATAGCGCATGGTGGAAAGGAGCAGGGAGAAGAACATCTTATTTAAAAAAAATGAAATAACCATAAAAAAGTTAAATAAAATCAATATTCTTTCAGTCACAGTTGCTTACAAATACTGAAACATAAAACCAGAACACACTAAAAAGTCAACTTCATACTGTCTAATTACACTTTCTTTATACATTTTCTTAAACATAAAAATGTTCTTACAGCCCTTTAAATCAATCGGCAAAGAATTCCACTTCTCTACGCCAAGAGACACACGTCTGCTTTAAAGTAGTGCTGATGCTTATCATTTCATTTCCTCCTATGATGCTCATCCTCTGAAATTAAAACACATTTGTTTAGTATATCTTCTGGCTGTATTCTGTTATCCAACATGTTTCTATCATCCCCTCTCCAGCAGCAGGGGAGCCAGGTGTCGTCAGGAGTCGACCCACAGAGAGAGCACTGGTACGGGTCAGAAGAGTTCCTCGCTCTCCCCGCTCAGCTCCGGAAAACTGAGATGCTCGCCATGAAGCTGGAGAGCCTGGCTCACTCACTGCCAACGGTCAGTAGATCAATGAAGTTCAGATATACACACGACAATGTACAGAGTTAGAGGTCTCGTTAGGCCAGGCTCACTTTATGCTGCGTTTCCATTACAGTTTAGGAACTGGGGCAGTAACTATAGTAACGCAGTGTAGGCGGAGCCGTGACGTCATCTTCAATGCGAAACACAAAACCAACATCAGCCGTTAGCTGTTAGCACTCAGAGCTCACAGCTCCTCATATCTGTTCAGAAACTAGACAGAAGTTAAACAAGTACAAACCACAGACTGTCTGTGTCATGGTGAATACAGTCGCTGCTTTATTTATGTCTGTATAGGCCGTTGTTGTGAGTGTGGACGGTCGGAGCATATACTGCGTTAGCTTAGCCAATCTCCATTTAGAAAACACGCATTTTAAAAGGTTTTTCGCCTGCCGTCTGTCTGCAGACTTGTCAAAGCATTAATTCATGGTTTTTACTAACCGGTATCAGTATGTTGTTACTTCGGCATCATTTAGAAACGTGTATTACAATTAAATCACGGTCAAATATGTTCATCTTGTTGTAGTTGCCAGCGATTCTCTCACTAGTTTAGCATACTCAGCCTGGTTGTTGGCCCGGAAAGAACCTCAATTTTGGAGAGCCAGAAAACTGTGAAAAAGTACCCGCTAGCCGGAACTACGCCTAGTGGAAACGCAACCAAAGACGGGCCGGGCACGGCACGGCACGCTTAAACCGCGCACCGCGCTGTAGTGGAAATGCGCCACATGTGTCCCCAGTGTGTCCCCGGTGTGTCCCCGGTGTGTCCCCGGTGTGTTCCCGGTGTGTCGGGGAACTCACGCAGCGTCAGGAAACAAAACCCTCTCTCTTTTCCTCCGTACCCACATCTCTAAAAACGGGGAAACAACGGAGCTGATCCAGATTTGCTGCATCATGACGACATTACTAAAATGTGGGCGGGCTTTACACCCACGGGCCAATCAGAAACGTTGCTGTCAGAAACAATGTTTTTTTTTAAAGCTACAGACCCAGGATCAGCTCTTTAGTAACAGCTGAACTAGAGCAGAATGATCTGTTTGGTATTTTGAGCAAAACAGTTCAGAGACATGTTTTTATATATATTTGTATATATCTGAGACCTATAATATGTGCCGAAAAATAGCATGATAGGAGACCTTTAAGATAAGATAAGATACGATGAAGCTTTATTTATCTCCGTGGGAAAATTCAGGCGTTTATATCAGCAACAGTTTTCAGAGTAAAATAGAATACACATGTAATAATAATACAGCAAAAATAAAGTGATAAAGTAACTATTAAAACAAGATATCACAGTAAAACGTTGAGCATTTGTATGACATATATTTACTTAAAGGGGACCTATCATGCAAAATGCACTTGTGTACGTCTTTTCTACATGAATATGTGTCCCCGGTGTTCCAGGGAACTCACCAAGTGTCAGAAAACACAACCCTCTCTATTTTCCTCCATACCCAAATCTCTAAAAAAGGGGCTGCAACGGATCTGATCAAAACTGATCCAGATTTGAACACTGTCCTGACGTCAGGACGGTGGCGCTACGGCTATTGGGCCAACTCCACCAATCAGGAGGAGACAGCCACGGCCATTGCCGTTCGAAAGCGCTGGAGACGCTGTAGTACATATGCCAGGCCTGTAGATGGTGCTGTTCTCACAGAATCAGCCCTTGCAAAAACAGAGCTAAAAAATGTCAAATTGAGCAAAATGAGGCATGGCTAAAATGCATGATCTGTTTGGTATTTTGAAAAAAAAAAAGGTATAAATATGCCTTATATAGGTATGGTCCTACACTATGTTATTCAAATATAGCATGATAGGTCCACTTTAAATGTGCAGATGAGAGTGCAGGTGAAAGTATTGTAAAACAGTGCAGGTGTTATGTATGAACAGTCCTGGTTACTATTTGCGGGTTAATGAACAACATATTCTGTTGTGCACATACTGTATATGATATAGAAACAAGACCCCTTTAATCTCTCTCTTTGTCCCGCAGAGGCCCGGTGGATGTGATTCTACCCAGGATGCTTTGCAAGATGTGGACGACTGGGAATTGACGGAGTTGAACCAGGACTGGGAGCTGGACGAGATGCCTTCTCTTCTGCCACCGCTGGTACATATTATATATATCTTTATTTATGTTTTAAACACCTTACATGCTAAAAACACACTTTACTTTGTTGTATTTAAATGTGGTTTAAAGACTGTGCACACAATTGGTCTGTTATAGTGTGACTTAATCTCTATATTTAAATTGTGTTTTCGCAGTGGTGTAATGTAATGAAGTACATTTAATCACGTTTCATACTTAAGTGCAATTTAGAAGTACTTGCTTTTACTTTTGGCACGTTAATTATATTTTGATCGCACTACTTTTCTACTTAAATTGTGAATGCTGTTTTATTCTATTTGTACATTTATATGCAATGCCTTGTTAACATTCTGCTATAACAAAACCATTTCGTAAATATTTGGACCAATGAAGTCGATCTAATCTCATATCTGAACATCTGTTGATCCCCTCCTTCAGCTTCCCTTCAGACGCAACCTGGTGAGCCGCTTTAGCTCCGCCTCCTCCAGCGATATCGCTCCCTCATTGGACGAGAGCATGGAGTCTGGACCGCTGAGTGACCTTCAGTCTGAAGAAGACGAGGGCCGAAGATCTACGGAGCGCCGCATGAACCTGACAGCAAGCAGAGATTACAAAAGTACATCCTTTACTCAAGTAGAAGTACAGATACTCGTGTTTAAAAATACTCTGGTGAAAGTAGAAGTACTGACTAAACTTCTTTACTCAAGTCAAAGTAAAGAGGGCTTTGAAATGTACTTCAGTAAAAAGTACCCATAACTAGCAGCTGTTTTAAAGAGTACCTGACCTCCCTTTATATTAATAGAACAATAATGTCATTGTTAGCTAATGAATGTTTCCATGCTGAACAACGGCAACATGACAACGTTTTCATTGGTCCCTCTTCTTTAGAGAAGACCAGGAAATGATGGATACACGGATCGTGTTCAAATCAATAGGCACGCAATGACTCTAAATAATAATGATCACGCCACCAAACACACATTCAAACTAAAGGAACCAGCCTGTTTGGGAAATGTGAGAAGTAGAAAGTACAGGTATTTGTGTTCAACATGTAAGAAGTAGAAAGTACAGGTATTTGGGTTCAACATGTAAGAAGTAGAAAGTACAGGTATTTGTGTTCAACATGTAAGAAGTAGAAAGTACAGGTATTTGTGTTCAACATGTGAGAAGTAGAAAGTACAGGTATTTGTGTTCAACATGTAAGAAGTAGAAAGTACAGGTATTTGTGTTCAAAATGTAAGAAGTAGAAAGTACAGGTATTTGTGTTCAACATGTAAGAAGTAGAAAGTACAGGTATTTGTGTTCAACATGTAAGAAGTAGAAAGTACAGGTATTTGTGTTCAAAATGTAAGAAGTAGAAAGTACAGGTATTTGTGTTCAAAATGTAAGAAGTAGAAAGTACAGGTATTTGTGTTCAAAATGTAAGAAGTAGAAAGTACAGGTATTTGTGTTCAAAATGTAAGAAGTAGAAAGTACAGGTATTTGTGTTCAAAATGTAAGAAGTAGAAAGTACAGGTATTTGTGTTCAGCATGTAAGAAGTAGAAAGTACAGGTATTTGTGTTCAACATGTAAGAAGTAGAAAGTACAGGTATTTGTGTTCAACATGTAAGAAGTAGAAAGTACAGGTATTTGTGTTCAAAATGTAAGAAGTAGAAAGTACAGGTATTTGTGTTCAACATGTAAGAAGTAGAAAGTACAGGTATTTGTGTTCAACATGTAAGAAGTAGAAAGTACAGGTATTTGTGTTCAAAATGTAAGAAGTAGAAAGTACAGGTATTTGTGTTCAAAATGTAAGAAGTAGAAAGTACAGGTATTTGTGTTCAAAATGTAAGAAGTAGAAAGTACAGGTATTTGTGTTCAGCATGTAAGAAGTAGAAAGTACAGGTATTTGTGTTCAAAATGTAAGAAGTCAAAGTAACAAGTCGTCAGAAAAATAAGTAGTGGAGTAAAGTACTGATACCAGAAACATGTACTTAAGTAACAAAGCATTTGTACTCCTACTTCCCAGCTCTGACAGCGCCCCCGGTGGACATGCGTGGAGGTGCGTCTCTGGTACAGCGGCTGCTCCAGGACCTCCAGAACCAGGACCTCCAGAACCAGGACCTCCAGAACCAGGACCTCCAGAACCAGGACCTCCAGAACCAGGACAAAGACCCGGACGTCTGGAAGAAGATCGAGGTACGGACGGTTTTATTGTATTTTCTGTCTCTCTGTGTCCTTGCTGTGAAACGTCTGTCGATGCTTTTGTCGTATTTCTTTCTCCAAGAAAACAAGCTTGAAGGTTTCATTCATTGCATTAGTGGAGTCTGACAAGCTATCGTTAGACAACAAATAAATTGCAAAGACAATGTTCATTTTCGGCATTTTTTTCAAATATTACAGCAAGTAATGGAAGATAAATCCACAGTAATAATATCACAATTGTGTTTTGTGCGGTATAATATATCCGAGGGAAGGTACATTTTTTATATGTTATTCATATTATCTTTTTTTGTTACATTTTTTAGGACGATCTTTACAAAACAAGCATTTTTTATCAAGTTTGTAGAATACTGTTCATAGGCCGGGACTTCTTTGCAGCACCACTGCACTTTATTCAGATATTTTGACATTTCTTTGACCAAATGTTGCGCAATTTAGATATTGCACTAGTCCATGTTGTGAGTTAGCTAAAACTTAAAGGGGACCTATCATGCAAAATGCACTTCTTGATGTCTTCTCTTCATCAACATGTGTCCCCGGTGTGTCAGCGAACTCACGAAGCGCCAGGAAATAAAACCCTCTCTCTTCTCCTCCGTACCCAAATCTCTAAAAACGGGGGAACAACGGAGCTGATCCAGATTTGCGTCCGATATGACGTAATATCTGAAATGTGGACCCACGGCCCTATCAGAAACGTTGCTATCGGAAACAATGCCCGACTGTTTTGGACGTAATATGGTCGGTGTTTACATTAGCATCGCTAACACTCAGAGCTAACCTGTACTGGAGAGCATGTGTGTGAAGAAACAGGAAATAAAAAGGAACTCACCTTGTGGTATAACCGGCAAGAGAGAAAGCCTTTGAGCTCCATACTGTTTCAGAGAGAATCCTTGATAATCCATGATATGGCGTTTCATCACGGCAGCATTTAGTTTAGACAGTAGCTGCCGGGTCCCGCATGAGCTCAGACCCCTCCTTTTTATTTGTTTGAAGCTTTATACCCCAAATCAGCACTTTAGAAACAGGAAGTGAAATAGAGGGATATGAGGCATGGCTAGAATGGGTGACCTGTTTGGTATTTTGAGCAAAACACTTTTTATATATTTGTATATATCTGAGACCTATGCTATTGCCTAAAAATAGCATGGTAGGTGACCTTTAATTTAACTGTGCAGACTTCTATGTAGCAATCGCTCTAAAAGTCTAAATAAACCAGTGTTTACTGTTTGTAGGAGGCTGAAAAGTGTCTCTTGTGTGAAAGTGTCCCTCCCATCATGCACTGCACCTCCAACACGGCCGTCAGAAGGTGCATTTCATCACTTTGAACCTCCGTCACTGAACACCTGTTCCACTTATAGCATGTTTTTCTGCAGCAGAACCACACACCCCTGCACCCTGAACCCCCTCCACTACGCCTCCTCTCCGTCATCACTTTTGATGGATTGGAGGCGGGTATCGGACGGTCCCGTGTTCCCGTTATTTCATCACCTCTCCCTCTAAAGGTCACGTTTGATTGGCAGGCGGATTATTGATGAGGCTTCCCGGTGAACTAATCAGTCATATCTGTCATATTGAATATGGGGAAATGTCAATAGCTCCTGGGATCCGATCTCCTCGTTTAATTGGCACTATAAAAGAATCCACGCCGCCTCCTCTAATTCTTTTTATTGTTTCATTTCATTCAGTTTTATTTCTCCGTCCTTTTATCGCCTTAATATTCTAATTCTGGGTATTCTTTATCTCCCAAGGCATCCTTTAACACCCCGGTTTTCTCCATGGGGGGTCGATATCCGTCTGATCCGGGGTCAGCGACAGAATCAGGCCGCTGTAATAAGATTATCATTTTGAACGGGGAGGATATGCCACGATCAATTTGTGGATCTGTGAGCCGACGAGGGTTTGATCCCCTCGCCAGAACTCTGTGTCCGAATTGCAAAACAATTCGAATCGGCCGTATTAATATCCATAATTAATGATGATTTGACTGATGAAATGTCAAAGCTGTCTTCTGTTCGCTCTCTCTTCTTCTCTGTCCTTTAGCGATGGGCAAATATTTTTGATCCCTTTATAAATCGGAGTAATGGAAGTCCATGTGGGGAATCTGATCTGATGAGAGGACTCTTTAAAGTAGAGACACTACATACTGATATACACCTGAACATCAGCAGGAGAGGACTCTTTAAAGTAGAGACACTACATACTGATATACACCTGAACATCATCAGGAGAGGACTCTTTAAAGTAGAGACACTACATACTGATATACACCTGAACATCAGCAGGAGAGGACTCTTTAAAGTAGAGACACTACAATACTGATATACACCTGAACATCAGCAGGAGAGGACTCTTTAAAGTAGAGACACTACATACTGATATACACCTGAACATCAGCAGGAGAGGACTCTTTAAAGTAGAGACACTACATACTGATATACACCTGAACATCAGCAGGAGAGGACTCTTTAAAGTAGAGACACTACATACTGATATACACCTGAACATCAGCAGGAGAGGACTCTTTAAAGTAGAGACACTACATACTGATATACACCTGAACATCAGCAGGAGAGGACTCTTTAAAGTAGAGACACTACATACTGATATACACCTGAACATCAGCAGGAGAGGACTCTTTAAAGTAGAGACACTACATACTGATATACACCTGAACATCAGCAGGAGAGGACTCTTTAAAGTAGAGACACTACATACTGATATACACCTGAACATCAGCAGGAGAGGACTCTTTAAAGTAGAGACTCTACATACTGATATACACCTGAACATCAGCAGGAGAGGACTCTTTAAAGTAGAGACACTACATACTGATATACACCTGAACATCAGCAGGAGAGGACTCTTTAAAGTAGAAACACTACATACTGATATACTCCTGAACATCAGCAGGAGAGGACTCTTTAAAGTAGAGATAATACATACTGATATACACCTGAACATCAGCAGGAGAGGACTCTTTAACAGATAAATCAATTCTAGGATTAATTTCTAGATTTTCTTATCAGTAAAAAAACCAGTTTGAAACTTGGATGTTGTGGGGACTAAAAAGAAAAATGGCACCTGTTCTGATTTATTCTACTGAATCCAAAGACAACGGATTTCCTCTGCTATAAAGTGCAGATATGAGATTACTCTCTACTTGAATCTAATCCACTCAACACCAACAACAACTGAGTCCTTCTCCCTCGAGGACGTGACTCTTCCTGGACACATCTGATTCATTTCTGCTCCAACACTGATCCCTCCTCTTCTCTGAAGGATGATTCTTACCGTTTTATTTTATTCTCCTCTGTTGTATTCAGTGGAGACTCTCAGCGGCAGAATGTCATCCTCCACATACACACACTCTTCTTCTCTTCACTTCCTCAATTAGGCAGCTCATCCATCGTCATGATTACATGCTGCTAATTAAGCAGCTAATCAGCTAATTACCCAGGAGCAGAGAGGAACGACGAGTGTGTGTGTGAGTGTGTGGTTAACACAATGTGTCATGAGCGAGCCAGCAGAGCATGATTCACGGTCGTTTTTATGTGTTTTGTTTCGCATTTCAGGAGGGTTTTGTATTCCTGAAATGTCTGTTTATTTCCGTAAATCCTTTGGGAACTTAGCAAGATGGCAATTATCCACGAGTCCTGTCAGCTCAGATGCTCAGTATCTGTAACCTGCATCCATATAGATGAACTCCAAACGTATTACTTTACTTTTGCATTGTTCTGGGGCTCATATGAACACAGAGCTGGAACACTGAGAGCCAGAGGGGTGTGAATGATTCAGGGGAAGCTGAACGTGGCCGGATTAAAGCTATTTATTGTGTCTGACGCGTTCAGGGCACACCAAGAGGGCAAGGGCAGATTTCTTAAAGCATAAAACTAATCAGAAACAGAGACATCGCTTTAAAAGATTGTAGTTGGTGCCGAGAACTGTTTCTGCTGCTGGTGATGCCAGACGCTGTTATATCTGCCAGATATCTCATTTACGAGGAAAGGATATATAAGTATAGTCACTATAAATGAATATTTGTAATAATTTAATGAAACTGACCATATATGCTCATTTTCAGGTGTATATCAGTATGTAGTGTCTCTACTTTAAAGAGTCCTCTCCTGCTGATGTTCAGGTGTATATCAGTATGTAGTGTCTCTACTTTAAAGAGTCCTCTCCTGCTGATGTTCAGGTGTATATCAGTATCTAGTGTCTCTACTTTAAAGAGTTCTCTCCTGCTGATGTTCAGGTGTATATCAGTATGTAGTGTCTCGACTTTAAAGAGTCCTCTCCTGCTGATGTTCAGGTGTATATCAGTATGTAGTGTCTCTACTTTAAAGAGTCCTCTCCTGCTGATGTTCAGGTGTATATCAGTATGTAGTGTCTCTACTTTAAAGAGTCCTCTCCTGCTGATGTTCAGGTGTATATCAGTATGTAGTGTCTCTACTTTAAAGAGTCCTCTCCTGCTGATGTTCAGGTGTATATCAGTATGTAGTGTCTGTACTTTACATTGATATTGATGGGAGGCATTCAGAACAAAGACTTAATGAAAACTGTCCACTTAAGAAGCTACAATTTAGGTTTTAGTGCCATCATCTTGAAAAACAACAAGTTGAATGCCTCTAAAACGCAGTTAGAGCTAAACAGTTCCCCTCCTAAACGTTCACTATCTGACTCACACGTTAAACTACCTTTTTCAAAACAAACATAATCACTGACGTTCGTTTCTTGGCAAGTTATTCTTGTTTTTCATACTTTCCTTTTTCTGTTTCTAGCTGCGTCTACAGTTGGACATGAATAGTTTACCCGAGACTTCTTCTCCCCTTTTGACCTTGAATCATTTGGGTCCACATCACGTAAAGCCTCCTCTTGTCCGGAAATGTTACGAGGCCGACGCAGGAATTATACAAACCCACAGCCTGGCGTTCCTAAATGAGCTGCATGTGCTCCTGAAGTGAGTGAGGAAGAAAACA